GAACTATTATATGGGTGATTCATTCGTTAAAACTTGTGACATACGAGCTAGTTGTGGATATTAAAATTTGATCTTTCCTATTAAATTTGTCAAAATGCTCCCCCTGTGATGTTAACTTGCTCTCAACTTTAACAAACTCTTCTCTACTTGGCATACACCTTAAATTTCTATTATTTTCTAATTGATCATTTGCATTTTCTTAAAGTTCTTAATTAGATTATTTGAGAAGTGATCGTATACCTGTTTAGAAGTGATCATATACTCGTTTAATCGTTTAAGGGCCGGCAATTGTGAATGTTATTTAGTATTCCACAAAGGGGATATAGCATTTCATAGGGTTTCTTATTATTTTATAATTCTATTACTTTCTATCACTCTTGCATCCTTATGGATAGGGGTGAGAGATTTCAGTACTATCAAGATTGGTCTAATTATTTCAAATGTTCAACCACAACAGCACATGATCAGATGAATGTTTCGGGACGAAATAGATAAACATATACCAATTCTTTTGAAACATTGAGATTCTTTAATTGAGGAAGATTCAATTTTATATGAGTTTTATACTTCCAACCAAGCAAAACCATATGAGATCACGTCCATTCAGCACCTTCAACGGTTCATACAAAATGTAATTAAACATTTTAAAGAACATGAATCAAAAAGGGTTTAATTACATTTTAAGGACGACGTCCCTTTTTTATTCATGTTCCTTAAAATGTTTAATTACATTTCGTATGAACCGTTGAACGTGCTCAATGGACGTGGTCTCATAGGGTTTTGCTTGGTTGAAAGTATAAACCTCATATAAAATTGAATCTTTCTCAATTAAAGCATCCCAATGTTTCAAAAAAATTGGTTGAACATTTGAAATAATCAGACCAATCTTGATAGTGCTGAAATCTCTCTCCCCTATTCATAAGGATGGTATGTTTTTTAAGATGCTCAATCCTACAAGAGTGATAGAAAGTAATAAAATTATACAATAATAAAAAACCCTATGAAATTCTATATCCCCTTTGTGGAATACTAAATAACATTCACAATTGCCAACCCTTAAACGAGTATATGATCACTTCTAAACAGGTATGCGATCACCTCTCAAATAATCTAATTAAGAACCTTAAGAAAATGCAAGTGATCAATTAGAAAATAATAGAAACTTATGGTGTATGCCAAATAGAGAAGAGTTTGTTGAAGTTGAGAGCAAGTGAACATCACAGGGGAGCATTTTGGCAAATTTAATAGGAAAGATCAAATTTTAATATCCTCAACTAGCTCGTATATCACAAGTTTTAACGAATGAATCACCCATATAATAGTTCAATTTCCAAGAATCCTGCATAAACCAATTCATATAATAAGGTAACAACAAACCAATCAACAACAATAGCAAATTAACTTGAAAAGATATTGAAGTTTATACATAGATGAATGGCAAATACAAGAACACGGCAATTTAACCCAGTCCTAATAGCCTAATAACTAAAATCATCCAAGTCAATCCACCATCTAATTCAACAATATGAGTACAATTATGATTGCAAATTGAAATTCACAACAATAAATTTATAGAATTCGGAAAATCTTTCTTAAGCAATTAAATCCTCTTGCAAAGATAGAATGTGCTTAATATTCACATGTTGATCTAGAGTCCAAATTAAATTTCGAAGACATACTTAACGTTTGCAAATTCTATCCTGCTTACAAGAATTCGAAAAATCTTTCTTAAGCAATTAAATCCTCTTGCCAAGATAGAATGTGCTTAATATTCACATGTTGATCTAGAGTCCAAATTAAATTTCGAAGACGTATCGTTTGCAAATTCTATCCTGCTTACAATTCGAGATAAACCTAGCAATTCGAGATAACAAGTTTAAAATAACCATATTGCAAAGTAAAAACATAATAAAATTATAACCAATTTGAGGTACTCACCCTTCAAAATCAAATTGGTCCAGGAAGTAAAGGCCAAATCAGTGAAACCATTGGCAGGGTAACCCATGTGGTTGACCAAAAAATCCCTAAATGCCAAGATATCTGTGCGGGTTAAGTTGTTTAGGTCACGATCTGGCACTTTTGATCTATCTATTCCAAGATTGATGAGATGAATTTCATCCCCAACCATACCATAGTTGGAAACACAATTTGACCTTCCATGAAACGCCTTCTTATTGTGGACATATTCAATTGTGCACAATAAATTCTTGATTTGCCTAGGCCAAAATAGGCTCGAAACTCCCTCCTCTTCAGTATCAAACAAAGGTTGGGGATTTTTTTGAAACCAAATTTCATAAAAATCCTTAAAACCATCGTAGGTCACAATAATTTCGAAGGTTGATATTGACTATTTTTCCTGGGCAAGGTTAGGATATGGAATTACAGTCAATCTTGATGGGAGAAGAAATGGCGTGTTCAAGTTTGAACAACGTTCAACCATGTCCACAAACTCTTTCAGAGACTTTTGTGGAAGGCTTTTTGAGAAATTTATATTCATGGTTTTTTTGGGCAAGCAAATCAATGTTCTCATTGTTGTATTCATCAGCTTCATCACCTAGTTTGAAATAGAATTTCATAGCACGCCCACCTATTACCATATGTTGTTGGTTTATAGCATCACTTTTAAGTTCCATGACTGTGTTAAGTACGCTTTGTTGTAAGCGGGTACTTTTTTAAATCGTCCATGGCAATCATAGAAAAATTCATCCTACAACCAAAAAAATAGACGCAAATTAAACAAATTTCAAAAAAAAAAAAAAACGAGTGGAGAAAGGGAACATGAACAGTGGAGGTGCAGGGAAGAGAGAGAAGTTGGAGGGGCATGGGCAGTGAGGGATAACAAGGCAAGAGATGGAAGAGTCGGTGGTCACTGGTGAGCAGAGATGGATGAGGGTAAGAAAGAACACCTACAACGATGGTGGTCGGCGTGCAGTAGGGTTGTGCCTGATCGCCCCTCCACTTCACGCCCTCACTCTGGGGCGGGAGACCACCTATTCGTGTTCAGATCCTCCAAAATCCTTTGTGATCTTGGAGTGGATGTTTATAATGTTTAGTTGCAAACATTCGTCTCCCCTGCTCCCTTCTTGCTTCTCTGCAACGCTTCACTTCAATACTGTTTCGAAGCCCTGTCTCTTAGGTCTAACACGTGTTGGGCTGGGAACATTTCATTCTTCATGGGACCTTCTTCTCTCTTTGGTCTTCTTCTATCTTTCTCTCTCCTCTATTCAAACCCCACACCCAACTCACCCCCTCCTCCACATTCCCACCACCCACCATGAACGAGACATTCACAAAAACACAACCACGTCGCAGACAAGTAAGGAAATTAAATGAAACTTACGGCAGCCATGTTTTCTATTCTCCTTACTTTGTTTTCACTCAGAATACCAACCCGATCGGATTTTCCCTAGAGGCTCCTCCATTGACGGTGATCGACCGATACCTAACAAAGACGACGATCCTCTTCTAGTAGCTCCAGTGTGACATAGCGTTCGATTATAAAAGGAAATCTAACTTAGTTCACATTGGCTTCCTTCTATTTTCCTCACATTCATACAAACTTCATTCACATTTTTTTACAAAAAAAAAACCAAAAAATCTTTCTAAACAAATAGAAAATTGAGGAAAACCAGAAAAATTGCCAAAAAGAAAAGAACAGAAAATCAGAAAAATTAAATGGAGTGTATTGAGCAGACCCAGATTTTCACTTTTACAAACAAATCTTTGATAATGGAGAAGTTTATTGAAGGCAAACTAAGAAGATAACTTTGGAGGGTGTATATTGCAGGATGGTGGGGCTTCGAGTCTACAGCCGCCACTGTTGCTAGATATACTCTGCCAACAGTAAGATTGACGTCGATGGGATGTAGGAAATACGAAAGTGAAGAGAGCCGTTTAGGGAAGAGGAGTAAGATGTGATTATGGGACGCCGATGTTTGTTAATCTAAGCCAGCGTCGCTGTCACTCCGTTCTTCTATTTTTTTCCTTCGGTCGTCGATGGAGATTTTGGTGCAAAAGCTTGAGTTTGTTTGCCTCTGTTATGTGAGAAAACTTCTTTTCGTCCAACACTGAACTTAATTCTCTCTCCGTGATGTAGTAGCTTCTAACCCATTAGATCTGTTTTCTCCACATGTTACCATCCTATTCACGTGTTACCATCATTCTAGCCATTCGAGGTCTGTAACGACATTTTTTCCTATAATCAAGCTGAAGATTGGATTGAGATTACATTACAATCCAAAGAACAACTAATGTGAGAAAACTTCTTTTCGTCCAACACTGAACTTAATTCTCTCTCCGTGATGTAGTAGCTTCTAACCCATTGGATCTGTTTTCTCCACATGTTACCATCCTATTCACGTGTTACCATCATTCTAGCTATTCGAGGTCTGTAACGACATTTTTTCCTATAATCAAGCTGAAGATTGGATTGAGATTACATTACAATCCAAAGAACAACTAAAATCATTATATTAGGACCAAATGGGAGTACAAGTACCACATATAAGATTTATGGGTAAAAACCCAAAGAACACCGAATATCATAATTTCAATATTGATTGTAATTAAAACTTTTGTTTGCACCCCCAAAAAAAAATTAGTCATTTTTTTAAACCATTATATTCAAATATATAAAAGATAAACATATTAGAAGTCAATTATTGCAATATATTTTAAATAAAATTTCACTCCATCAATTTGGACTTTAAATTTACAAATTAACCAAAAAAAATGTTAGATAAGCACATAAGATTTATATATATACTAGCGAATAACCCGTGTCTAAAGGCACTACCAACACAATTTGATTGCAAACCACCCTCTGTCATTGACGAACATAATTTTTTTGAAAGAAACTCTAATTTGACAACAAAATGAACTCATCTCGGTAATAAAAACAACCAGAAGAACAATAAGATAAGTATGAATAGCTTACCATAATATCATTAAATTAGATGATTTTATGGTTTGAATCTGAACAACACCAAAAAAACTCAAACCTATGTTTAAGAGCGATAATTGCATGTTCACAATTTTCTGCAATGACGTTGTCATAGCAACAAATGATCTTATTCCAGTTTGTTTTGTAACTAATCAATTTGTTCTGACCCCATCATTGGCTGAAACACATGAAAAATAGCATTAAGCGAAGATTCCAAATATGAATGTGAGAGAGAAGATTACACTGGTTTTACATAGTGAAACCAAACAATAAAATGATAACTCTTGTAAAGAAGTCTTCCAACTTGAATCAGGGAGCAAATTTCAACACCAGCAACAATACAAATTATGCAAACCTCTCCAAACACTTTGATCTAGATAGTAAATTACCACAATGACGCAAACATAGAACACACATTGATGAACTTGCCATTTCTCCAATTATCTAAGCTTTGTAAATGGATCAAATAATTAAAATTAAAAAGTCCTTAAAAAAACACAAACAATTCATTGCAAAATTCAAGAAAAAATCAAAATTGTGTCACGACTATTAGATTAGTCCAAAAGACAATATTTTTAATCATTGAAAGACATGAAGAGGCCAAAATCGTACATTCCTAGCAATGCATGAAGCAACACATAACAAATTAATTGAGAAAAAGAAATAGAGATGATATGAAATGCATAGCATGTATTGGCCACAATAAACACTAAAACTAATTTGGAAACAAAAATGAATCTAAACACTAATCTTGCAAGCAAAAATCAGTTTTTTACTCTGATATAAAGGACCCAACCAATCATCACTTCACAAATAAAATCAAACGTACACAGTGCTTCATATACAAATTGTAAGAATCAACAACATAACTGTAAATAAAGCAATTAAATTGGATATGGTTTCCTCCTTTGAAGCACTCTTTTTACAATTGAAACCTTCTTAGATACACATAAAAATCAATACCAAAACAATTGAAGAATCTAACACCAAATTTAACTATACTAGCATATGCCCATGCCTGAAGGCACGGTGCAAATAATATTAGGATTAAGATATAATTGTAATGTATACGTATTATGTTTAAATTTATGAAAGTTGTAGCATTTTTTTATAAAGATCATGAAAAAATATATAAAATATTATTCTTCTTAAAGAATTTGTAACAATTTTACTTGTACCACATGATCTACAAAACTTAAATAAAATAATAACTTCCCCTAGTGTATGCCTCCCATGCCTAAGGCACGGTGTAAATAATAATGAGATCAAAATGTAATTAAATATAATTTCTGAAATTTGTTACTAAAATTTAATAGAACCGATTTGTTTTTAATGACGTTAGGTTTCTCAATAAATATATGAATAACCAAAGCTGCTTGATATTTTTTATTTTTTTAATAAAAAAATAAATTATCAATATTTCAACAATCCTGTACAATTATTTAAACAATCATGTGCAATTATTTAACGAAAGCTACTTTTTCTTCTCTTCTTCCACTTCTTTTTGCTTTTGTTCTTTTTTGAGCAAAGAGTTTTGTCTCTCTTTTTCCTCTACGTCTCTCTCTTCCTATTTGAACTCCATTGTTGCTCACGTTTGAGCTTCGAATGAGAATCATAACCCAGTTAATGAAACATTAAAACACATTAAAATCACAAACCCAAACCCAAATCTTAGAAACACAAACCAAACATAATGAAACCTTTCAAAAATCAAAGCACATTTTAAAATGAAACCCATTCGAAGCAGATCAGAGAGAAATTTAAAATTCCTGGTAACTTCAAAACAAATTATAAAATCATTATTATTAAATTGATCCGTGTGTCTACATGGATATCAGAATGCTTTAGACATGGAACAAACATGCATTATGGTCCAAGAATTTTTTTATTTTTTTTTCTATTCAAATAGTAGGGAGTGAATACACCAATTTATAGAAAATTCTGAAAATTTATAGAAACAGAGCATTGAAATTGATAGAAAAATTCAACCAAAAAGTCAACAAACCCTATACCAACACTTCAAACAACAAAAGCATGAGATTGAACAAAGAAAATCAGCGAACTTGAATTACTCAATTACTCAAAGGGGTCAGTGAACCCTATACCAACACTTCAAACAGCAAAATCATGAGATTGAACAAAGAAAATCAACAAAGTTGAATTCCTCAATTACTCAAAGGGAGAAAGGGAGAGAAAGAGAAATCAAATTATCTTCGAACAGTGGTACAGCGATGATGTGGTTATGGCTAGAACAAAGAAACCTAGAAAAGGAGAGCCATGAAAATCATACACATACAAATGTATAAGTATTCTAAATAAAACAGGAAATAAAACCCCAAATTCAATTGCCTCGTATCCATTTTAAACCCAGATAAGCAATCAAACCTTGAAGCCTCAGGTTTGGTGTTGAACGATTATACACAATTGAAGAATTGCGCGCGCGCGCGTGTGTGAGAGAGAGAGAGAGAGAGAACTTAAGTACCTCTGTTTTGGGATTTGAACAAACACAGCCACAAAGAACAGACACTATATTAGTAACCCAAATAAACTCCAAATGTAGAAAATATAATATACAGATTTATATGGGAATCCAACCGCTAACCATACCTACTATTTTCAATGGAGGTTAGTGGACAAAGCTGTAGTGGTGCATTGGCAGTGAAAAGACACGGGTAGTGTTTACATGGATAACAGAATGCTACAAATTGCACAAATATACCACCAAGAGAAAGATACTTGGAAGTATAAAGCAGCAGATACAATAGATAATAATTAGTTTCCATGTAACTCTTCCTTGTATTAGGGTTGTGCCCTTAAAGAAGAGGACTTCCAAATATTGTAGAAGGCATTTTTGTTTCTTTAGCACGCCTAACAATGCCCAATATTGTATATTGGTCCTTAAGAATTAAATCACCTTTTCCATATTACACCATGTTCATCATCTACTAAAATTTTTCTTCCATTTCAAAATTCGACTTCCATAAGGCACGTCAACTGGTATCCTAGCCAAGTGGCAACTAACCATTATGGAGTGAACAACATGATTTAAACACCACTATAAAAATAGTAAAAGCATTAAGGCAATTCAAAATGAAGTAATACAGTACCTACAATAAATGTGATTGCAACCTGCTGGTAGTTCAACCACATGGCTGCAATTCACACACTGGCACCACAGATTCCTCTTTGCAAGAGTTTTCAGCTTCTTATCTTCTGCACATGGATGAGGATTTAAAATTTTGAAATTATTGCAACTCACGGTACTATGCCAAGGGGCTTTGCAGTTCATACAGAACAATCCTTGAACAAACATGCATTATGGTCAAAGAATATTTTTTTCTTTTCTTTTCTTTTCAAAGAGTAGGGAGTGAATACACCAATTCATAGAAAATTTATAGAAACAGAGCATTGAAATTTATAGAAACATTCAACTAAGAAGTCAACGAACCCTATACCAACACTTCAAACAGCAAAATCATGAGATTGAACAAAGAAAATCAGCGAACTTGAATTACTCAATTACTCAGAAGGAGAAAGAGAGAGAGAGAAATCAAAGAAATCTGGAACAAAGAGGGAATAAAACCCTCTTTGTTGGGATTAGTCTTATGGCCTCAAAGAACATCAATTTAAACCATAGAAAGAAAGAGAGAGAGGGGGAGAGAGGTACCGCTGGGGGTTGAGAAAGGGAGAGAGAAATCAAAGAAATCTGGAACAAAGCGGGAATAAAACCCCAAATTCAATCGCCTCAGGTTTGGTGTTGGGATTAATCTTCTGTTTTGGGGTTTGAACAGACAGCCACAAAAACATAAATTTAAACCATTATAGACTTGAAGCATAGAGAGAAAGAGAGAGAGGGAGAGAGGTACCGGAGGGGGTTCGAAGCAGAGAGAGAAAGAGAAGACGGCGGCGTCGATGTAGAAGACGGCGACGTTGATGATGATGACGGTGGCTGTGGTGGTGGTGAAGCCAATCGAAGCACAGTGGGAGGGTTGCGACTTGAAACCACTGAGGAGCCAACTCGGTGAGCCAATCGAAGCACAGCAGCAAGTGGGAGGGTTGCGACTTGAAGCCACTGGGAGAGAAGGGGGGAAAGGGGGAGAGGCAGAAATCGAGACCGAGTTCGAGAGGTAGGGTAGGAAAGAACAAAGGGAGAGAGAGAGAGATAAAGAGGGAATGGGGGGCCAATTTCCCTTACTGACATTTTGAATATTTTAGTCTCACTCTAGGGTATGTTTCTACTTTATTCCCAATATAGGGTGAAACGGTTTTGCCAAATTCATTTTTTTTAAAACGACTTTCCCAATGTCATTTTTGATGAATAAAACAATAATAAAATTTTCCTTCGTAAAAACGGTAACGTCTAATTAATTTTTAGATTATATAAAACAATTTTTGTAAAACCGTTTTTATTTTTATTTTATTTTTTTCCCAATTTTTCAACATAATATAAATAGGAATAGCAACGGGGCGGGGTGGGGCGAGGCCGGGGACTACACTCCCGATCCCCGAAAGAGATATATTCCCCGTCCCCGTCCCCGATCCCGATCCCGATCCCCGACGGGGACCTAAGATTAAGATATCAAACTATAAATACATTACATTAGATTAGTTTGAAAATAATACCATAATACATAATATCATATAATTTCTCCCCCTGTGACAATATCAAAAGGAAATCATGGGTCAGAATATGGAGGAGGAGAATGATAGTGATAAATGGCATCAAAAAATAGATAACAGAGGTCGAAAAAAACAGATATATATATATATATGTATGTATGTATCTAAACCCTATATCGAAATCCCGAGAGAGAGAGAGAGAGAGAGAGTGATACCCTTTGAAAATCGGCGGTGAGGGAGGATCGCCGGTGAGGGAGGAGTGGCGGTGAGGGGCGACCAGCCGTCGTGACTCGTGTGTGAGAGACAGAGAGGGAGGCTAGCGGCCGTGAGGGAGGAGGATCTGTGAGGTACGAGCGGCGGTGAGGGAGGATCGGGGGTGAGGGAGGATCGGCGGTGACGATCGGCGCCGTCGTTGTGTGAAAGAGAGAGAGGAAGGCAAAACCCTAGATAGAGAGAGAGAGAGAGAGAGAGAGAGAGAGAAAGCGCGAGAGCAGACGGCTCTGCGTTGTGTGTTCAGTGCGTGAAACAAAACCCTACACGCGCGCGCACACACACATATGTTATATATATATAAGCAGGGGCCAAAGGGTAATTTCACGTCGTGGCAGCCAGGCCGGGGCCGGGGCAGAGCTGAAACATGTTCCGTCCCCGGCCCGAATATAATTAGGAATTTAATTTTTAATATCATTCCCGACTCAGAGGAGATATTTTTCGAGAAATAACCGCTCAATTCGGGATCGGGGGATCGGGTCCCTGTCAGGCCGGATTCTGATTGTCATCTCTAAATATAAATTGCCACAAATAATATAATTCAGAAAACGGGTTTACTAAAACCGTTTTTCATGGAATTTTTTTTTTTTTTATGTTGTCTTTGTGTTTGGTGAAAATGTAATTCAGAAAACAGGTTTACTAAAACCGTTTTTTAATACAGCTTTCCTAAAACCGTTTTCATGTAATTTTTTTTTTCTGTTGTCTTTGTTTTAGGTTAGAAGGTGTAATTCAAAAAAAAAAAAATTTCACTTTACTAAAGTCGTTTTCATGTAATTTTTTTTTTCCTTTTGTCTTTGTTTTGGGTTAGAAGGTGTAATTTAAAAAAAAAAATCACTTTACTAAAGCCTTTTTTATGTAAATTTTTTTTGTTTTTCCTTTTGTCTTTGTTTTGGGTTAAAATGTGTACTTCAGAATTTTTTTCACTTTATTAAAGACGTTTTTATGTAAAATTTTTTGTTTCTTCTTTTGTCTTTGTTTTGGGTTAGAAGATGTAATTCAGAATTTATTTTTTTTTTGCTTTACTAAAGCCGTTTTCATTTAAAAAAAAAAATTCTTTTGTCTTTGTTTTGTGTTAAAAGGTGATAATGTAATTCAGAAAACCGATTTAATAAAACTGTTTTCTAACCGTTTTCATTAATTTTTTTATCTTTCATCTTTCTTTTGTGTTAGAAGGTGATATACATGTTTTACAGTCCGAAGCACACCCACACACTCTGCACTTTGATGAACAACGACGAAGGATGCGACGCAAAGAGCACCGTGCAGGAGGCCAAGAATTACATGTTAACAACAAAGGATGCGACCCATTAATATAGGCATGCATTGATATACAAAGCTTCACATTCTTCTATTCATCAGAATACTTCATTACAAAAGTATTACATGTTAACAACAAAAGTAAATGCCCTACGGGCTTACAGCTTTCCAAGTTAACACTTGGTTACAAAAGAGAGTACTAACTCAATTACATATTAAGCCCCTGGCTTGAATTTACATGTAATACATCAAAAGAACTAAGACAACAAAAGTGTGTCCGCCTCTAGCCTCCCAAGCTAAATCCTTGGAGGTGGCATGCTACCTGTACCTGAAAATGATATTCCCATAAAGGATGAGCCACAGCCCAGTAGAAATACACTAAACCAAATATGGACAATGACTAAAAGATTAGCAATTGATAGATTGGTCAACACTGATATTTTTCCTTATCACACTTTATAGTTTCATGACATACAAGTCCATGTTACAATCCATTTTCCAATTCCTTTCAATTCTCAATTAATAACCATGGCTCAGAACCTGGCCAAACAACTTATATGAGACAATAACTCATATTAAGCACTTTCTCATTTCACAATAGATAAGCATACTAGCTATATCACACATCAACAGATAAGCATACAAGCTATATCATCACTTCCACAGATATGCATAAAAGCACTATCACACTTCCAATGACAAGCATATGAGCTCTGTCAACACATTAATAGATAAGCATATGAGCTCTATCTATGGAGTCCATCCCCTATCTCCTCCCAACAACATCCAGTTTAGAGGTCCATCCCCTATCTTCCCCTAAACCGTGGAGTACATCCCCTATCTCCTCCAACACACACAATGCATATAAACAATAATTATACACATCACCACACAATACATAAATTTAATGTATTCTTTCAACCGTCATACTCAATGACATATTCCAGTGATTAGTTTCAGTTTGCCTAATCATCATGCGTTGTCTACAACAATCAAGACTATCCTCCACTGATAGCCCAAAGCAGTTATTTTTATATAGAAAATAAATGCAACAATGGATATATAATCAACATTTCAACTAGGTGAGTGATAAATAATCCAACTACACCTTTTAATCCCATATCTTTCCAAACCAATTTCTCATTTCCCATAATTAATTATGCAAATTAATTAACCAATGTAATTAGGGCATTTTTCATAATTAACATTACAACCCTTAGGTTCCATTTTCATTAATGTTTTAACATTAATTTCACTTTTTCCATGCCAAACATGCATCTAGGTTTTATATAGCCAAAACCCCAACTTTTGTAAAAATTTACACCAAGGCCCCCAAACTTTCACAAAATCACCAAACCAACCCCAACATCTCAAAACACTAAAATTTAGAGACAAAGCTCATAAAGAGGAGTAGGATATCCCTACCTCGAAGTTAGAGCTCGGATGGAGAAGAGACCAAAACCAAAAAGCTCTAAAGACCAAGATTCTCGGATCAAAATGACGCCCTCGACGATCCACACAACTTTTACAAAAGCCGACGAGAAGGAGGACACTCTAACTAAATCAAACCCTAGAGAGAAGGGAGTTTCTAGAGAGAGATGCTCTCAAAAAAGATTTTGGAAAAAGTAGGAGAGAGAAAGAAAAGCAAAAAGTGATTTAAAATCACCCAGCGGATAACTCATATACGTGTGACCCGCTAGAGCGGAGAACACAACACTCGAGCGCCAAGAACAAAAATCTGGACACGCTCGAGCGCAATAAGGCCCGCTCGAGCGCCAAGACACAAGAATAAAGCACTTCCGCTCGAGCGCGAAAACCAGTCCGCTCGAGCATAGATTTCCACCTCCCAGAATTTATACCCAGAAAGTACTACCCGCTCGAGCGCCACCAAACCCGCTCGAGCTCCACCGCTCGAGCGTAAACAAACCCGCTCGAGCGTAAAAATCACATTTGCAGAAGTTTTGCAGGAACACGAAATACTGGAGGTGTGCAATCCCCGCTCGAGCGCAAGAAGACCCGCTCGAGCGGACCGCCTAAAAACTGAACAACAAGGAATTGAAACCAAGGCCTAACCAACCTGTAACAACCCTGCTAAAAACATCCTAAAACTCAATCAAGTGGAATTAAAGGACAACAACAAAATAGATACCACTACCAACTTCACGGAACCGAGTCCGGAATACAACAGAACAGTAAAGGGACAACCGGGATCGCTATAACCTCCCCCCCTTACAGAATTTCGTCCCCGAAATTAAACACAGGCTTTTCAAAAATAGGTTTTCTCCATTTTCAACAATATTACAACATAATGTTAAACAACCCGACCCCTTACCGGTCAATTTTGCAATAGGCATTTCACAACATATATTACAAGTGCATTATCAATCATGCAATTTTCTTCCATTCCCAACCTACATGGTTCACAGTTCATATCATAATCAATAAACATGATATAACTCCAATTCTACAATATAGCCAACATATGCAATATCAAAATTAACTCCCATACCGAGGCAAGTTCTACAACATACTTCTATTAAACCAAAACATTACCAATGTTTTACAACTTAAGACATATACAAAGCTCTTAAGTCCAACAACATTACAAAATTTAAATACAAGATTACTCATCAACAAACAAGTCCGGATATTTCTCGCGGACTTCCAACTCACGTCCCAAGTGGCTTCCTCCACTCCGTGATGGTTCCACAAGACCTTTACCAAAGGGATGGTCTTGCTACGCAGGACTTGATCCCGCCTACCCAAGACCCGAACCGGTCTCTCCTCATACGAGGCATCCTCATCTACCTCTAAATCGGTCCAATCTAACACATGTGATGGATCTGGCTCATACTTCCGAAGCATACTCACATGAAACACGTCATGCACTCCGGACAACTGCGGTGGCAACGCTAAACGATAACAACCTCGCTAATCCTCTCAAGGATCTCAAAGGGACCAACAAATCGAGGGGATAACTTCCCACTCTTCCCAAACCTCATCAACCCCCGTCTAGGTGATATTTTCAGAAAGACATGATCACCTATCTCAAACGCCAAAGGCCTCCTCCTACGGTCAGCATAACTTTTTTGGCGACTCTGGGCTGTAACGAGCCTCCTACGGATAAACTCAACTTTCTCCGTCGTCTCTCTAACCAACTCCGGACCCAACAAAAGTGCATCCCCCACCTCGGCCCAACACACTGGAGACCTACAAGGTCGGCCATACAAGGCCTCAAACGGTGCCATACCGATGCTAGACTGAAAGCTGTTGTTGTAGGCAAACTCTACCAATGGCAAGTGCCTCTCCCACGTCCCACTGAAGTCTAAGATACAACCTCGAAGCATATCCTCAAGGATCTGAATAGTACGCTCAGACTGCCCGTCAGTCTAAGGATGATAAACCGTACTAAAGGTCAACTTAGTACCCAAGGCACTCTGCAAACTCTGCCACAACCTAGCAGTAAAACGAGGATCTCTATCTGAGACGATCGTCACTGGGACCCCGTGCAATCTCACTATGTCCCGAATATACAAGTCTGCGAGATGATCTACCGAATCTCTCACGCGCATGGGAATAAAGTGCGCCGACTTAGTCAACCAGTCTACAACCACCCAAATAGCATCACTACCCCGCTGAGTCCTCGGAAGACCTACAACGAAGTCCATAGTGACATGCTATCACTTCCACTCGGCAATAGGCAAGGGTTGCAACAAACCTGCTGGCCTCTGATGCTCGGCCTTCACTTGTTGGCAAGTAAGGCACTTAGATACGAAAACTGCCACATCTCTCTTCATACCCCGCCACCAAAACTGGCGACCCAAATCCCGATACATTTTAGTACCTCCCGGATGCACTGCGAGACGAGAATGATGGAACTCTCGGAGTACTTCCTCTCGGCAAGACTCCAGCACAAACAAATGGTCTCGGTATCTCACACTCAGGTCGGGATACATCGTCAAACCCTTCTCAGCCTTCCCACTGGAGATCTTCTCTCG